GTAAATTGATGTCTGTGTTGGAGCTGGATGACTTGGATAAAGTCTGTAATGGTTGTTAATGGAACAGAAACATACTCTGCTGTAGATTTCAGAAAAGTACTGGTGTTCAAGGGAGGGTGGGGTACAGTTTGTCAGAAGTGACGTCATTCAGCAGCATAACTCTCTACAGTGTAACACTATGTATATTTAACACTGGTCAATTATAATTTTAGATTAGATTTGCGTCATTTAGGATGATATATCGGCCTTGTGAGTGCAGGTGTAGTCAGATTCTGGTTATCTGAAAAATTCCAGATATTTGTCTATCACTGAATGTTATGCAGTTGTGTTTAGAATAATGGTGTTCATATACTGTAATTCATGATATAGTAAATTTCATGGAAAGTCAATTTAGGAAGCAGTTACAGTCTAACAGATGAGAATACCTGTTGAAATATAAACTTAAATAATCAAGTTACTTTATTACTTTGATGCAAATCTCCAATAAATTTATTTCTGCTTAATACAGTCCTGTTTAATGATTAGCAATGTCGCCCACAATAACCTATAACTACAATATATATATTTTAAAATGACAGTATTTAAATCTCAACACTGTCTCTGTATATTTTATTTTCTTGATTATTATCACACAAATCAATATCAAAACATGCTTTCATGTCTAAAAAGAAACCTAATTCAAAAGTCCCATCTGTAGATCATAGACTTTAAGTGCAATGGTAACCTTATGATCTAAGCACCATCAATGTGTCTCATAAAGCAGTCAGTCCCGTAACAGTCAGTTCAAACCACCAGGGAGCACTTTTCATTAATAAATAAGTCTAATGCGAACTACATGAACTTCAAAGTATAAAGAACAGACTTTTAACAAGTACAGATCTCTATGTGTCACAACAGTTAGAGACGGAAGACATTACAGGGTGAGGAGTATTTCTGAATGTAGACCTCATCTGCCTTCTTTCCCTCTTTGGTTTTGATAAAATCATTCCCAGATGTGGTGGCAGCAGCTGTATGCGAGTGAAGGATGGTGCGGTGTGAAGGAGGTGGCAGCGGAGGGTCGATCGATAGGGAGCCTTCAGCTCAGTTCCAGCCTCCCGTCAGGGTTTGTGAGGATGGAACTGCACACACGGAGTGCGGAGTCTTTCTGTATGGAGGCCGTTTGATGGTTTTTCCAGCCTGTCTGCCAACTTTAATGCGGTGGGGGAAAAAAAAAAACCCTGACAAAACAAACAAAGAAACACCCGACTGTGTGACGTGTTAGCTTCCAACACATCAACACATTAAGTTCAAGGGTTTTTACACACATGAACTCTTACTTTCCAACCGTCTAAGATGGGTTTGATGCTGTGCAAAAGCACAATGTACATCCCAGAATGTGCACAGAGAGGACTGATCTAAACTAAATGCTTTCTCCTGTTTATTAAAGCTGTTTAATGGCGCCTTCATGATGACCACTGGCATTGGGAAATGAGTTAATCGGCTATTTTTAATGGGTTTACCGGCGTTTAAAAACGTGCATGTATCGGCATAATTTTGGTGTAAAAAGGGTACAACAGTTACACATCAAGAAGAGGTCAAGATGAGTGTGTTGCATGCAGGCTGCGGTGGCGGTTTCAGTGGGAAAGCGCAGGTCATGTGGCTGAAAAAACCCTGGCTGGCCGCTGTGTTTTTAATGCAGCCCTCTCTGCGTTTCCATGGCTATTTACTCTGAGCGCCATTGTTTTGCTTTAATGATGCCAAGAGGACAAGAGGCATGAAGCAAAACAGGATCTGAATCTCTTTAAACAGCACACAGAAACACACTGACTCCAGACGTTCATATGCAGACTGGGGCTGTGGAGCGAGGCCTGAGCTGGAAGTGGATTATTCACCTCTTCTCCACAGCACAGGGCCCGAGCCAATTCTACTTTATAACACAGGATCAAAACCGCTCTTCATTTATATGAAACCAAAGCCTGCCGGCAAATCATCTAGGCTGACATGGGGATCTGAATGAAATCACATTCAAGGCTGTTTGGGGAGGAAGCATGAGGCATAAATAACAAGCAAACCCTGATTAGCTCTATAAAGATCTGTAGCACAAAACGGTTTCAGGATACTCTGCTGTTTTATCCCAGTTTTCATTTTGTTGCTACATGACCTGAGGAAACCATAACATTTCTGCTTTAAATCTGAATTGCAACCTCCTGCACAACTAATGAAGTTAGAATAACTGAGGTTAGGGAGCAGGTCCAAGGCTTAAAACACCTCTAACCTGGTTAACCCTTCTTCTGCTCTTTGTCTCCCTTTCCCGTGCTCATTTACCTTCCTGCAGCATTCCTTCATCCACCCATTGCTACTCACACCCATCTCATCCCTGTTTGCTTCCTCTCCCTTACCCAATACCGTGCATGCATCAGACTTCCTATGTTCTTTCCTTTTCTTACATCCATCCATCCTCAACGTCCAATACATGACAGCTACATGACAGCATGCTACATATGTTGTAGCATGGTTCTTGCTAGCGAAACTGCACATTCTGTTTGTTCAATGACCCCCTGTGTCACACTCTGCATTTCTGTCTCTGTTTTCCCCCACACTCGCTCTCTCTCTCCCTGCCTGTGCCTCATTAGCCTCATGTCTTTCACCTGTGTTGCTCCCGCCCTGCTCGTTAGTCCCTGTGTGTGTGTGTGTGTGTGTGTGTGTGTGTGTGTGTGTGTGTATATATACCTGGTGTTTCTGTCTTGTCTTTGTCGGGTCATTGTATGTTGTCACCTAGTGTTGCAGTTTGTCTCGTGTCGTCAGCCTTTTGGATTTCTGTTGAACAGCCGTCGTTTATTAAACCACCGAACCATACCTGCTCCGCTCTGTGTCCTGCTTTTGGGTCCTCCAACCTGCTCCACCCTGCTCCACACCACCGATCGTGACAGAATGACCCGACCAAATATGGACCCAGCGGACATTGTTAAATTGCCCAGCACCTGGGAGGAACTGGGGGTGCCTAAAGAGGAGCTAACAGCCGAGGAGCCGCAGTTTTTTGAGTTACTCTCTAATATGTGGAGAACGGACCCAGAAATGGCCCTGCTCGTTGCCTCCTCCCGATGGAGAAGGTCTTTTGAATTTGAGACTGTGTCGAGACTTTGCTCTGCAACCCCCCAGTGTGTGACTGCTAAGCCTGCTAGCCCCGAGCCCCGGCCTGCCGGCTGCACGCAGGGAAGCATCCACTCGTCCTGCCCGACTGGCGCTGCCAGTCGCCAGCCTGATCCGCCAGTCTCCAGCTCGGCTAGCGTTGCTAGTCCTCAGCCTGTCCCCGGTACTGCTAGCTCCAGGGATTGTTCCCGGCCTGCTAGCTGCATGGTGGGAGGCTTCTTCCTCTCCCGGCCTTCTAGCACCCAGCCTGCTAGCCGCCCGCCTGGTCATCTCCCTCCTGTGTTGGCTCCATCATCCGGACTGGTTGGGGACTCCTGGACATCTAGCTCTCTGGTCTCTTTTTTGATGGACTTGCCGTTAGAACCAGAGAGCCCTAGGATTGCTAGTTCCCAACCAGTCAGCCACCCAGCTCGGAGTCGACCAGCTAGCCTATGGCCTGATAGCCTGGAGGCTAAGCTCCCCCTGGAGTCCTCCTTCGAGGGAAGTCGCCTGGCCATCTTTTCGGGTTCACGTGGTGGTCATCGGAGGCGCCCAGGTCAACAGCAGCGACCGGTCTGCAACCAGCATGATCCCAGGCCAGCTAGTGCTACTAGCTTTGTGCCTGCCCACCTGCCTGATCCCCGGCCTGCTAGCGCTGCTAGCAGCCAGCCTGATCACCAGCTGACTCCTGTTCCTTCGTCGGTGGTCCGACCGGCACCTGCTTCACCGGTGGCCCAGCCGACTCCTGTTCCCTTGTCGGTGGTCCGACCAACACCAGCTTTGTTGGTGGCCCAGCCGACTCCTGTTCCTCGTGCTTCGTCGGTGGTCCGACCAGCACCAGCTTCGTTGGTGGCCCAGCCGACTTCTGTTCCCTCGTCGGTGGTCCGACCGGCACCTGCTTCACCGGTGGCCCAGCCGACTCCTGTTCCCTTGTCGGTGGTCCGACCAGCACCAGCTTCGTTGGTGGCCCAGCCGACTTCTGTTCCCTCGTCGGTGGTCCGAACGGCACCTGCTTCGCCGGTGGCCCGACCGGCACCTGCTTCGCCGGTGGTCCTCAGCCCAGCTGCTCAGTCCGTGGACCTCAGCCCAGCTGCAGCTCCAGAGCACCAGAGCTTTGGGTGCCGACCTCCGGAGAGGTCTTCCCGTCGGCCTCCAGTGGGTTTCCAGCCTCTTGGTTGGCCTTCCTGTCGTCCCCCTGAACAGTCCGGCCTCCAGGGCCGTACTCCGGGACGGCCACCTGAACTCTGTGGTCCCTCTGGTCCTCCCGCCCAGTTGGGTCGTCCTCCCAGGCGACCTCCCGAATTCTGTGGCCCCCCTGTTCTGCCCAGCCTGTTGGGTCGTCCTCCGGGACGGCCTCCCGAAGTCTGTTCTCCCCCTGATTTGCCCGGCCACACGGGTCACCCTCCGGGACGACCCCCTGAACTCTGTTGCCCACCTGGTCCGTTGGGTTATCCTCCAGGACGACCCCCTGAACTTTTGTTCCCCTCTGGCCGCCTTGGACGGCCTCCTGAACTGCCTTGCCCTGCCGGTAGTTGGCCCTTTGAGACTTTTGGTTTTGTTTTTCTGGCCCTCCACCTGGCCTCCCTCCGCCCACCCTGGGCCGGCTTGACCTGTTTGTGTTTTTTTTGTTTGTGATGTTTCATTTTAGGACGTCAGGGGCCGTCCTTTTGAGGGAGGGGTACTGTCACACTCTGCATTTCTGTCTCTGTTTTCCCCCACACTCGCTCTCTCTCTCCCTGCCTGTGCCTCATTAGCCTCATGTCTTTCACCTGTGTTGCTCCCGCCCTGCTCGTTAGTCCCTGTGTGTGTGTGTGTGTGTGTGTGTGTGTGTGTGTGTGTGTGTGTGTGTGTGTGTGTGTGTGTGTGTGTGTGTGTGTGTGTGTGTGTGTGTGTGTGTGTGTATATATACCTGGTGTTTCTGTCTTGTCTTTGTCGGGTCATTGTATGTTGTCACCCAGTGTTGCAGTTTGTCTCGTGTCGTCAGCCTTTTGGATTTCTGTTGAACAGCCGTCGTTTATTAAACCACCGAACCATACCTGCTCCGCTCTGTGTCCTGCTTTTGGGTCCTCCAACCTGCTCCACCCTGCTCCACACCACCGATCGTGACACCCTGGACTGTCATCAGGGCCAGGTACTGTTTGAAATGTTTTGACCCGTCCAAATTGGTAACTTTTTGGTAGAGATGTAATGACATAATAGAAATTAAATCTCTTTGCTTGCAGTTGGAGGATTATTTGGCCCTACTGAATGTATCCGTCCCAACAACGTCATTTCAGTCGGCACAGATGTGGCATCAGGTAACAGGCACAGAAATCAAAGGCATATGATGATTTTTGAGTTTTAATATGATTCGACTTGTAATAGTCTGTGCAAACTCCATTTTCATCTCATCCACGCTCACTGCCATTTTTGTGTTTCTATGTTTCTGGCTTGGGCACAGGAAGACAACATTAATCCCTCCCGCAAAGCTTTGGCTTGGTTTGGCCTGCTGAATTACTGAATTAAAATACGAATAGCAACTCGGAGATCTCGAGCCAGGCTACATTTTCTACAAGGACGTTCAGTGTTTAAATGTTCCTCATCACAAACAGCTACAGACAGATTTTAAGACACAAATCAGCTGGTTCTCAGAAACTGAAATTCAATACACAGCTGTCTCTGTAATTGGGAATCACAGAAAAATAAGCAAGCAATAAATGTGACCTTGGAGCCCTTGGTTTGGCCTTGTTCGGTCCTAAAGTGGAAACCACAGTTTTCTATTCTTGACCAAAGAGTCACAGGCTAAAAGGTTACGGCTACCATAGTGTGTAACAGTCTATTTCAGTTTTAACGACAACTGATGTCATGTGTTTTGTAAGGAGCAGGAAGTCATAAATACAGTATCTGATTCAGGGTAGATTGAGTCTTTAATCCCTGCTCTCTGACTGAAAGGCCTTCTGGGGCTAATCAACAAGAGGGCCCATCCATCGCTACAAAGACTGTCTGTTATATCACACCAAGTACCTTCACTAGATACACACAGATCATTCTCTGCCAGGTGGAACCCAAGCTGGACAGGTTTAATTTTACTGGACGGATAACTTTAAAAGGCTGGAGGTGACTCCAGCTCTGTGGGAGCACGCTCATTGGATCAGGATCAGATGTTCCCGCACCACTTCCCCTCCTGACCCAGGCTGTCTGAGATACCTGACCCCCGGAAGTGAGCACAGGCTGTGACGGATGGCCTGGAGCCTGGAGCTCGGCTTGATGATGCAGCGTGATACTCCCACAGAGAGGAGAGAGGAGAGAGGGGAGCAGGACCTGGACTCAGGCAGCTCCTGGGGCTAAAACACAGCTGCTGCTGCTGCTGATGGCTGTGAGTCTGACCAGCCTGCCAAAGAGGAAGCCTTGTCCACTCAACACTGATGGGTCAGTGCAACCTGTGCGTCAAAGTGCATGTTTATAGAATTAAGGGATTTCTGGTTGACTTCCAGGAATTTTGTGTAACTACATATGCATACATCTGTTTGTGAGATGGTGGGTGTGTATGAACATTTCTGTGTCTGTAGACAGGCTGACGTCTCTTCCTTGTACCTATATCTGAGTATTTATTGCTCTGTGTTTTGCCAGAACGAAGGCAAGAGGCAGAAAAAAATCTGAAATCTGAGCCAACAAACAGCTTTTTCTGGATGCAGATCTGACACCCAACACTCTTTTACAGCGTTGCCTCCATCTCTCCTTCATCCTTCCATCCTCCTCCATTCAGAGGTGTGAGTGCTGTGAGTCAGCCAGACAGGAAATTACCTCAGCCAGAGACGGGGAGGAGGAGGAGGAGGGGGGTTCAACACAAAGGTAAAAGCATAATGTACTCAAGAGGGTAAGTTGAGCTGAGATAAATGGGGGAAGGAGGAGGAGGTGGCACTTATCAGCTGGAGGCAAATGTGACTATGTGTGTGTTGTGTGGGCATATCTGTGTGTAAATCCAAATGTTGCACAAAGTGGTTTTTCCTGCAACAAATAGTTGATTGAATCAAATGAGAATCAGTTTACTTAATTAAGTTTTAATTAATCAATCAAGTGATTTATCAATTAAAAGCGTAAAACATTCTCTGTTTCCAGTTTCTCCAATCTGATTTACTGCTTTGTTGTCAATTGAATATCTTCGGCTTTCAGGCTGTTAGTTGGACAAAACAATCAATTTGATTGAGTATTTTTCAAAATGTCATGGACAAAACTTCCACTGAAAATAAAATAGATCATGCTAATTATAGAGAATGAATGAGATAATTATTAGAGTATGCCCTAGCAATTTGAATTTATAGAAATCTTCACAGACCAAATTAAATTATTAAAATGCAACAGATAATCTGTGTATTATTGTGACCCCACCAGATCCAATTTACAAGCAAATCATCTGCATATGTGTTAATAATTTATATACGTGAAAATCTTATCATGTAATGGGTGAATTGTTGCAATCTGCACACTCTGCTTGCTCTATTTAATTTCTGTATAGTGTAACTCCTGGAGGATGTAAGTACATCATCCATTGTGTTGAATACTTTCCACAAATGGCACAAGTTTACACTATTAAAACAGCAAACCTTGTAAAAATAAATCCAATTTTACAACATTAATAAAAGCAGAAAAGTCATGTAAAGGTGGGTAAAGTTTCAGTCTAAGCAGCACACATACTGTGTACAGTATGTGCTCTTATTTCACCTGTAAGTAGCAATCAGTATGCACATGTTCGGGTGACATCAGGGAGTATAATATCAGAGACATCCTGACAACCACACTGTCAATCACAAAGTCATCTGACTGAGTTTTCTCATCCTCTCTCCATCCCAATCCCTCTACATGATTCATGCAGTCAGTCATCTGTCTGACGGGGAAATTTAGCATGAGGTTTAAGGATAGTTAAGGAAATAAAGAGAATTCATTATATGCTCAAGAGTATGTGGAGTAATTTGTACTTTTGGCCTGGTCTGTTTTCCTGGTTTGATTCCCCTCATTTTTTATTGATGTGACAGCTCGACATTTACTCATTTATTCACCATTTGAAAGCTCAGTGTGGAACAAAACTTTCATGTGTTCCATATAGGGAAAATTATGTCACCAAAGTTTTAAAATTCAATCCAAACTGATTTAGGATCAGAAAGAGATTTCTGATTTCTATTTTTTTTTTTTTTTTTTTAACAATCTTTAGCTTCCACAAAAGTATTTTTAGCCTTGTGATTGGATGTTTCTTATTGAAATGCACCTTGGGAGTCGTAGTTTACTTCTCTCCTTATGGCCACAGATTTGTACTTCCAAAGAATCATATGATTGCTCTAACACGCTGTTGCAGATGATTCAACCAGGAGAATTATATGTCCATCCAAGATTTTAAGAGCTCCAACTGTCAGTCACCTCACAGTATGTATGGTGAAAATGAACAGGACTTTTACTTCTGAATCCCTGCACACTCAAAATATCTTCCCTTCCCTACTTTTTAGTAATGCTGACTCAGGCAACATGTCCATCAAGAAAAAAAGCAAGAAACCTTTCTTCAAGCATCAACATCTCTGATAACAATCAAAGCCATGTTGTGGCTAGCATCTAGTGGCTGGTACTGGCAGTGCACCTTAAGACACCTCTGCACCGGCTTCAGCTTTCAGGCCTGGTGTTGGCTGCTTGACTGCAACAAAGTCTTTGTTCTACAGAACTGGCAGAAAAGTTACATCCACAATATCAAACATCTTTCAGGCGCTGCATGTGTTTGCTGACTTTTGGCGCTTGTACTGGAAAGACTTAATTTCTGCAGATCTAGCAGGAAACCGTCCTGCTAAGCTAATCTTCCACAAACCTCTCACTTGGCGGGAATGCCAGAGCTAATCAGGAGATGTCAACACACACATACACACTCGGTAATGAGCAGACGCAGAAACATTGCATGTAGAAAGACACATTCTGAACAGTTGAAAACAATGATAATGACGATTGATTCATCTTCAGATCAACATACACGCTAGACCTCAGGAGGCCTCAAGGAAACCAGAACGAGTCAGCACAATCTGCATGTCTAAACACTGAGTCATTACCAAACCATCTCCTGAGCATAAACTAATACCTGTTCCCAAGCCTGTGCCCTGTACAGGCAGCATGGGCAAGGCCAAGCAAATGCTTTCCATCAGTTTGTGTAAGCAATGATAAACACGTTACGTCCAATCATAAAAGCATGGATTTCATGTTACAGTCGAGGCAGAACTATTGCAGCCAAAATGCCCGGTTTTCCCATGGTTGTATTTCAGAGGGAGAGAAGGTCTGTGTCTCATTTCTGTGTGTTTATGGCAGATCTAAATTATGGTATCAGGTTCGCTCCAAACCGAACCAACTGCCAACTGTCATGGCCGACCCTCCCATATAGGCCACTTTTGTATCTGGGAAGTAGTGTAACCCAATCTATCCCTGAATTTCTGGTTCTCCGCTTGGATTCATTTTTGCCGTACGGGGAGAGAGAGAGCAGACAGGTCTGAAAAAACAAACAGACCTTCAGAACAAAGTCAGTGTTTTTTTTTTTTCCCTTTCGTTTTTTCCCCAAATAGAAAGCAGAGGAAATGCTGCCGGCAGCCACGTTTTGTGAATGAAGCCCAGCTGACAAACAGAGCAGGACTTGGACTGTAAAGACCTCATGATGTGTGTGTGCATTTGTAAAGCCAAAACACACACCTACACGTCGGCACAGACACTATCATGAGTGTAATGACAGGCATGTCAATGATATATCTCAATGTTTCTAATATATTATGGTGTCATTTCACTTGGATTTGCAGTACATAAGTACTCCAAGAGATGGCGATCTTAAAGAGGAAAGCCGGGTGTCAAAAAGCTTTGCAACCCTTCACTCAGCATGAAGGTCAGGACACGATGGCCACAGGGGAATTAAAATTATCCCAAAGTAATTCTGAGGAAACTGTTCTCCACGGCTGCTGAATGTAAACCTGCCAAATAATTTTTTAGTTCCTCTAACTTGTGGGATGCATGCTACAATATAAACACTGTAGGTTCTGTTACACAAGCCCCTCTAAGAGAGACTAAATTCTTTTAAGATTACAGAAAAAATGACGACTGTTTGGTGGTACCCTGAATAAAGCTTGCATTGTACAGATGTACTGTTTATCACTTCAAACTGTAAAAGGTTATTTTGGTCTAGATTGATTACTTTCTCACTTATAATAGGAGAATGTTTCCTTTGACTGGGCTTGTGCAGACTGATGATCAAATTGACTATCAAAGACCACTGTTAATTTAATTATTGGGGCTGTGGAGCAAAATATATTTATCAATTAGGCTCCCAAAACTCCTAATCAGTCTACTGTGGTCTATTCACTTCCATGTAGAAGTAAGAAGAAAGGACGGCTAATAAGTCTGGAAAATTGATGATCCACTCTGCCGGATAAAATGTTAAATTAAATAATGGTGAAACGGGCTCTATGTGCGAGGTGACATAAATACGCTCCATCCAACCTACTGATAAAA